TTTGCATGTCAATGTGTCTGGCAGTGGCCCAGGTGTCGACCCAGTGAATTTAGACCAGCCAAGTCTTCATCTTTGTTATTTCTTTTTAAATCCCCTCTCCCTCTGTCCCTCTGGTCCCCTTGCAGGGCAGTCATAGCATCAACTACCCCAAACACCAAACTACAGTATTTCTTGGAATTAGTGTAAACAGGGTTCCAAGATTAGTTAAGACAAAGGGAATACAGGAAAACATGTCAACCAGCAAGGTCATCCCCAGATATCTTGTGTTGTGTCTTCTTCTCTTTCTCTCTAGGTGTCTGCCTCTGTGCTTCTACGACCTCATCCTGCCTTTGTTTCTCCCTCTCACACCCTCCTCAAACTTGAGACCAATCAGAATAAAAAGACTGTTTATCTCTGTGTTGTTGTGGCTCTGGCTCCAAAACAACACAATTTATGTCCCTAATCCTGTCCCGTCACATGTCCCGACTGTCCAGCACAGCACAGAGAAAATGATAAAGAAAAGTCTAAATGCTGACTGGGTAGCTAACCTTGGCAGGGACTCTAGGGACCGGGGCCAAAGCTGGCTCTTAGGGAGAGGAGAGAGTCAGAGACAGAGAGAAATACAGCTGTGAGCCCTTGACGAGTCCCCTGGGCCAAACAGCAATCTACTGCTTTCAGAAGCCATCCCTGAACTCATCAGGCAACACAGGTTTGCTAAAGTGGAGCGGATTAAGCCTAAGTAACAGTATACAGCGTGGAGAAAACAGCGTGAATGAGTAATGTGCTGCAAACAAAATACATTGCAACGCCTTATTTAAAGCCAACCTTGTTGTTTGTGTGGAATTAGTCATTTGTTATTTGTATGCGTAACATTCTGGCTGAGCAAATGAGCAATACTGGCAGAATCTACACTAATTCAAAAAATGATCAGATTGGGTTGTCTTGTTTTTTGGCTAATAAAATAGGTGAAAGCTAAGCAGCTCTGACCAATTATCACGGTATGAAGATTTTATAGCTGTCTCGTTCGCTACAAAATTACCTGCCTACACATCCAGCAGTGATTCATCAAGATTATTTAGAGGCTGTCCATCTGATGCAGGGAAGTTCACTCCTCTCCTTTATTCTGGTTTGTCTCCAACTCCCAAGAAACATATCTGGGTCTTTAGACGCTAGATGGTCCATTTTCTTCCAAATCCAGCTTTGTGGGTCTGCCACTTGGCACTGAGCAGGTACAGTAGAGTGGGTTCCTCAGAGCTTGTTTGCTAAATACAGCTGCATGCTGCTCCTGGAAACAGGGCTGATGAGAGCAGTGAGACTGAACCAATTAAAGCTTTGTGGAGCAGCAGAGTCAGGTGATAACTCTCTTTGGGTTCATCACTATGACCACTTTCACATTACTCACATTCATTTGACTGGACGTTAATATAAAAACACTGATTAGTGGAGCTTTGAATTTAGATACTCACTCTGTGAGAGCAGAGTTCAGTTGGAGGTGAGGAGACTGGATCAGATGTGATTGCTGTCACAACGGGATTCATCAAGAGTGTCCAGACAGCAGCTTATTCAAAGGTGACATTTCATCTGTCAAATGTGCCAAAAGCTAAAATTCACTGAGCTCTCTTCAGTCTTGGCTGGTAACGTATAGTATGGTTGTAGACTTCAAGAATAAAGAATGTTTTATTGCATTAAGATTACTTTAAACGGGGTTCTGCTCGACTAAACCCTCAACCAGGTGTACATGGGGCGCATGCTTAACCAGCTGAGCGTGCGCCCCATGTACTAAGGCTGAGTCCTTACCGCAGCAAACAAGGTTAAACTCCAACCTGCAGCCCTTTGCTGCATGTCATTCCCTCTCTCCCCACTTTCACGTCACCCGTAAACTGCTCTGTCTAAATAAAGGCAATGAAATGCCACCCAAAAAAATTTTATTAATAAAATCATCGCTTTTTAGACATAAACTATAATGAATAAAATAACTGAAGAACTTAAATGTATTCAAAATCTAGAATTTAATTGTTAGAAATGTTTGTTCAGTGTGTTGTGGTCTGTTGTCCAAGGACAGGGTAATACTGATTGAAGGATTGATTAAATTCAGTATTTAGGCTGTTCAAACAAGGAGTAAGTGCTTTTAAAATCAATCAACAGCTCAACAGTCCCTTAGGTGAAAAAGGGTTGTATAACATAGTGGAAATTGAATATCTGTAAACCTCTTACTTAAAACTTTTCACATTATAGACAGCATCACAAACAAATCCAACAAATGACTAAAAGATAAACGATGCTCACACTGAGTTACGTGCAAACCTCAGAGGCTATGGCATCAGGTAGTTCATCCGGTGTCTTCACCAGCATAGAAATACTGCATGGCATGAGTCTGTAATGATGAACTCAGTAGTAGGTCTAGCAGAGTTTAAAAGGTTAGAATGATTAGAGTTCTAAAAGCCTGTAATAACATTTAGACTAAACTGAGAAGGCATAAAAATAACCAAACTCAAGCATTAATGACCTCCGAGGGGATTTTATCTGAGACAGGGCTTCTCTCACGTTGGCTGGGTGCCTGCCCTGTCAGCCTAATAACAGCGGGAGCAGTATTATTACTAGTATACTATAGTAGTAGTAGTAGCTTAGTGGTAGGATTGTGAAAGAAGGATTTGCTGTGTGAGTGTAAATAAAGAAAACAGAAGAATACTATTTACAGAGAGATCTTAACACAAACACACACACACAGCATAGTGTTTTTATCCAACCTTGGTTTCACTCTCCCTCTGAGTATCAAATGATCTGCACTCTCTGAGAAGAAACCTCAAAAGTAAAACTCTCTAACTGTTCATTTACAGTAAGAGCAATCAATAGCCTCCACTCCACAGATGAGGGACTTCTTTAAAACGTGGAGAAAATTGATTAGAAAAACACAGAGTTAATGTTGTCATTAGTATTCTATCCGACGCAGTTTCAGATCACGTTCGATATGAGATGCAGACATTCTGCTGCAGTCTTGTGAAAGAATTTAGTCTGAAGAGCAGATTTAGAGAAACCAGTGACCAGATTACTCTAACATGCATCACTACTGGTCACACCAACAGAACACTATATATTATATACACGGGGGTTAAGACACTTTTGCATTACAGATAAATTACTTAAACTCAGTGTTAGTGTTTTCATATATAACAGAATACAATGAGAAAATAACAATGAAACTATGAACACACATTCTTTGTCCTCTCTTGTATCTTAACCTAAGAAATCCTAACTAGAACTGTATCATATGGTCTGAAGTCTTTGGTGTTCACGTTGTTCCCTATATTCATTGTCATTCTGATACAGACCTAACAACAGTAGTGCTGCTATGTGTAGCAGACAGGGTCTATGCCTCTTCAGATAGGACAGTTCTCTATGATAGGATGTTTCATGTTTTTGTTTTCATGTTTCTGTATTACCAAAAAACCTAAATGTCATCATACACTGAGATAAGACTGGATTTCATACTCAGGAAGTTTCTGTAATGAGGCCAGATGACCCTAAAGGTCAACCAGAGGATCTGTGCCACAGGATAGGAGGTGAATATATCTATATTTATCTATAAATGTATCCAGGACCATGACCCTGTAAACCCTTAAATGTATTCTAAAACATACAGGCGGCCAGTGAATAAAGGCTACATCAGGGGTAACCTGTTCTCATCTCATGGCATTAGTTAAAAGCCTGCAGGTGCAGTATTTTGGATTGACTGAAGGTAGGGGCTTGCCTTACGGCTGAGCCCTGCATAAAGTGAATTACAAAAGTCCACATGAGGAGATAAAAGCGTGGACGACTTTTTTTTAGATCAGTGAAGGTTAGAAAGGACTTAATTTGAGCTATAATCCACGGCTGTCGGAGGGAACAAACTGGTGACCTTTCAAACCACAGACATACAATCACTATTCTAAAAAAGCAGCTTATAGATATCTGATACTTTTTGTGGCTCTCTCTTTGTCTATGCAGTATTTTTGCCCTTTTAACCCATCGTGAAATCATCTCTTGTAACTTTATTTGCCTAAATACAAGTGTCACTGAGATTAAAAGAATAAACGCAATACAGACATAAAAAGGTTCAAACCTATGAAAGAATAACAGTTAGTATGCTTTAATGGGTATGAGATTCAAATGCATCTCAAATAAAGTCAAATATAGAATATAAAATATAAATAAGGAGAAGCACTGGGCATGAGTGTGATTTTCCAGATGCTTTCAACCTGACTTCAGCCTTGCTAAAAGGACTATGAATCCCTGTGTTATGAGTATACAGCGTGGGCAAATAGGTGTGAATGAGTGCAATCAGAAAATCGATGAGAAAAGCGTAGCGTGAAGGAGAGAAAAAAAAGGAGGCAAAAGCAGTTAGGAGAAAGAAGAATACACTAAGATGAATTTTCAGCACCAGAGACAGCTCATAGGGCTCATAAAACCAAGGAGCGAACAGGGTTTCCTCTTCAATCCATCTTCACTGTGCACAAATCAGACACCTCTTTTACCACCTCATCTGCTAATAGGCTTCTTTTTCCCCCCACTCGGGGGCATTAACAACAGGGCACAACCTCCAGCTCCTTCCACACAAGCACACACTCCCACTGTGGTTACCAGCTGCTTTCAAGGTGTCTACTTACACGCAATGTTTCCTAGAAGAAGTAGTGGGGAGTGTTCAGTTTACACTCCACTGCTGCTCCAACACGTTGTTCGCTGAAACAACAAATGGCCCAGGCTGCTTCCAGTCCGCTACATGAATGCCCCTCAACACATCGGGGCTTGTTAGCTTCAAGAGGTCACTTAGAGACACAGACACATCATTCATATGAGGCAGGAGCTTATTACACACAGGGGACGTAGGTTTGGAGGACAAGGCCAGTGCCAGTGGTTCCCATGACTCTGCCAGCTCAGTGAATTGCAGAGGGCTGCTACTGTAAACCCTGCAGCCTACTGAAAGGAGGAGTGCTCATTCTGTAAAAGCTGTGCGCGTGCAGGTTTGGCGGACATAATTAACTCACCTTCACCGCTTCAGCATGAGTGACTTTTTCGAAGACTTTGTCGTTGACTTTCATGATCTGGTCACCGATTCGGAGACCCTCTTTCTCCGCCAGGCTCCCGGGCTCCACCAGGGACACGTAGATGCCGACCCCGTGCTCCGAGCCTCCTCGGATGCTGAAGCCCAGGCCCTCGTTGCTCTTGTGCCGCTTCATGGTGACCTGCCGCAGCTCGCCCGGCGGCTCGTGGACGAAGTTCCTCCCGAGCAGCGGCACCAGAGGAGCGGTCCCGTCGCTGCTGGTGCTGAAGCTGTCCGGAGAGCCCCGCAACGCCACCTGAAACTCGGGCGGGTTGCTGGGCGAGAAATGCCCCGGCGGGGTCGGGCTGGCGCTGGGGAAGTCGCCCGGCGGGGGTTCGGCGTTGCCGTTGCTCGCAACTAAATCCGATTTTAAGTAGAGGCCCTCCGAGGTGTACTGCTCAAAGAGCAGCTGGTCGGAGCGGGGGATGACCAGCCGCAGCATGGGCAGAAGTTGCCGCTTGCTGGGCGCGTTGAGGATGACGTTGAGGGTCTGCACCAGGTCGTACACGTTGCGCTTGGAGTGGTACACGTTGAGGCAGTGGATGAACTGCTCCCTCTCGAAGTCGTTGAGCAGGAGGTTGAGCGCGTTGTGCAGCTTCCTCACGTTGGCCGACAGCGTCCGCGCGCTGGAAGCCACCGAGTTGGCGGAGGAGCTGAGCGACACGCGCTCCAGGTCGGTGCTGCTCATCCTGGCGGTGCGACCGGGACGCGGCGCCACACTGCTGCGGGGTTAGAGAGCAGGCATGGCGGGCTGGTGGCACGGGATTAGACCGGCGCTTGGCATCACGACCGCCGGAGGACGCGCACTCGGGTTATATCCATGCTGTCTGGCTCTGACGGACGGTGCACTTATTACTCACAATGTGCTGGAGAGAGCGAGGGGAGGGGGCGACTTCAACAGCCAATTAAGCCCCACTAATTCACTTTCACCGTTGACACGAATTAATTAGCACTTACCATAATTTAAAAATCGATAATTGGATCCTGTAAACTTCACGTGCGAAACGGCGAGTCAAGACTGGACGTGCAACAGCCTCGCGGAAAACTCGTCCCGCTCCGCCAGAGAGATTAGTACTGAGCCGAGGAGGGATCTGAGCCTGCGTGTCATTAGCTGCGCTCTTATTTTCCAGGAGGTCAGGTGGCTGCCGAGCCTCCGCTTCTCTGGTGTCCTCCTCCCCGCCAACAGCTCCACGGAGGCGCAATAACACACCAGAACTTAAACCGACTTGTACTTGGTCCACTGTTGCGCACGCAGCTCAGAAAGAAAGGCTATTTCCTCAACGGAGAAAAAGAAAATTAAAAAAAGTTATTTATGTGCTCCCGCTCGGCGTCCCGGTGACTTCACACTGTCCCGCTCCGGTCTCGGTTTTAGTTCCGAACGACGTCAAGTTCACAAAAGATACCCGGACCGAGCGACGTGTAGTGCAGCCGGTCTGTTGCTCTTGTTGTTCTCCTCCCGGTAGCTGCTGAGGTGACCCGCTGCTTCCAGACGTTACTACAGCGACGGAGCGGAGACCGGCGGCTCTCTGCCTCTGACCGTCCTCCGTCAGGAAGTGACGCAGCCTGCTGCAGCCAATAACCAGCAACACGCGCTCGTTTCCCCACGCTCACAGCACTAAAGCAGCCAGTAAGTTAGTAAACAGGACTTCAGTTAGACGCTGTACTATTATACTATTGTATTGTGTCTGTGTAGATGGTGAGTGTGTATTCTGTTCTTATGGGTTTTAAATATGTACAGTATGTTGTATTAAAGCAAAACCTTCAGTGCAGTTTTAAATGACACTTCTTCAGTTGATCATTTAGATACCCGCCTGGACTTCAAGTTTATCTTTAATGGTTTACCACTACTGTTACTCAGTGGAAACACATTTTACAAAACTTTACTTTACAGAGCGTATCTCTTCAAAGATGAGTCCAAAGTGGCTGCTAGAGTGCACAGAGTGGGGAAAAATTAACATTCACACAGTCAGTTTTTCACAGCAGATTTTCTGACTTAATCATAGTCCTATGTCTAATTATCCTACTAATTAATACCCACCCTGTATATATGCATTACACTAATGATGATTTTTATATTTTATGCACCAATGCACCAAGACAAATTCCTTGTATGTGTAAAAACTTACTTGGCAATAAACGTAATACTGATTCTTATTCATTTTCAAAAACCTGTTGGAAACTAAGATGTTGGAAAATAACAATTATTTACTTGAATATCAAAAAACATAATTTAGGTGGATTTTAACAAAAGACATGCAGAAGGATTTCAACTCAGACATCATCTAAACAACCACCAACACTGCTACAACAGTCTTGGCACCACTACTACACCTGCTGCTGTAAAAGAGAAAACCTGTGTCTTAACAGGTGGCTAAATATCTCTGTGGGGGTACTGACTGTTGACTGGTTCTGCTAGCTCACAACACAACCAGCAGTGCATAAAAAAACCAAATAATTCTCTTTAAAACATTTTCTAAAGCTTATCTCTTTGTTTTGAATGGGAAGGCTGGTACATGTGTTACATAAAATAACCCTTTCAATCAGATATAATTAATGTATACTCTGATCAGAGAGTATTAGTAAGTAAGTGGTTGAGCACAGAGTAGCACCACTGACTGCTATGTTACTGTATATTACATAATAATGGTGTTAGAGCACGTTCTCCAGTCTTCCTTAAACAGAACATCACATATGAACTGGGAAAGAAGGGAAGAAGTCTTTTTTTTATGTTTACATTAATTACAAAGAAAATGAGCCTCAATGTCATATAGTTTCAGCTTTTTTTTGATGTTCTGCATCTCAACTTGTAGCATTAAGTTCCAATGTACTGGGATAACTGTGCATTTCTTTTATTGCTGTTTTTGCAATCTTAATCCCACATTGTAAAACTGAAGCATTACTATAGCACCTCCCATCAGTTGAGTATGCTACACCTGCACACATTCATTTATATTTTATATTTTTTAGATCATTTACTTTCTTACCTGGACAGCCACCAGTCCTTGTCTGCAGGTCACTGGTGGAGTAGCTGGAATCCCTGATCCATGAGTCCTCGAGCTGTAGCCAAAAGGCGCAAAGTGGAGTGGAACTCAGCTGTCCGAGTGATCAACGGTGCAAAACGGTAACAATATCAACTGCTCTCTGCTCCAAGGCCACTGTGTTGATGAATGGCACTGTGCACTTTTGGCTGAGTTTCCATTCTAAGCCTTCCTTAAAACCGAGCGCCAAATATTCCTTCTGCTTTATTAACCAGTAACTGAAGCGTTTGAAAGGCTGACCTGGGCAAACTGAGGACTGTCTGCTCTCCGAAAAGGAACCATTGTGTCATTTTAATTTGAAATTGTGACCAAGTGTGAGCTGGGTGATAGAATTACTAAAGTCAAAGTAATTAGTGAGGTTGAAAATGGGCCGATTGACTGGGAAAGGGAAAATGGTCTTTGAAAAAAAATCAATAAGATAGAGAATGCACTGAATAACAGAGGAGCAAATGAGGCTAAAGCAGAGCTGACTGAAATCACAGATGAAGTCAGCTCTCTGCTTCCCGAAAGTGACACAGCAGAACTGTCAGCCAGCAGCAACCCAGGAAACCCAGATAAAAGCAAGAGCATCTGATAGCATATGCGTGGTTTCAGAGGATGAGGTTTATCAGTTAATGATTTCCTTTGCTCTTTAGTCTTTATTTTCAGTATTTTTCTTCAAAATAAGCATTCCAGCTTCAGTTTAAAAAGAAAAAAGTTTGATATTAGAGATTAGGGCTGCAACTATTGATTATTTTCATCATTATCAAATCTGTTTATTATTTTTCAGATTACTAAATGAATCATCTTGGCTGTAAAATACAAATAAAAATGTAAAGAATTCACACTACAAGTTAACAGAGCCCAACGTGATGTCTTCAAATTGCTTGTTTTGTCCAACCAACAGTTCAACACCAAAAAATATTCAAATCTTAAAATCTGAGACGCTGGAAGCAAAGAAGGTCTGGCATTTTGCTTGGTGATCAAATGCAGTCAAACTGGATGGACACCATTTCTTTTTATGTGAAGATGAAACCATTTTATCATCCCTGTCTTGTTGCTGCTGTTAACATTCAACCAGACACAAATTCAAAACACTGCAGAATTATTTCCTGTATACGTGTATGTATGAATGTGTATATATAAATAACTCTATATATTGTTTTATTTTTATTCGATTTTACTTGTTTTTCTATGAATTTGATCATCTTTTTCTTTGTGTGTAGCATGAAGGAACTACTTACTTACATTTTCATTCAAGGAATCTTGATTCCTTGAATTGATTATCAAAAGAATGTATTCATTGTAGGGCAACACATAGCTCACCTGGTAGAGCTGTTGCCCCAGTCCTTGCTGCAGCAGCCCAGGGTTCGAATTTGACCTGCAGCCCCCTGCTGCATGTCATCCCCCCTCTCCCATTGCCCCCCAGCTGTTTCCATTGATTAAGGGTAACAAAACCTTTGGGATGTAGTCGGCGGCTATCAAGTGGTTCTGTGGAGAAAACATAATGAAAGAAGAACCTCTTCAGACTGAGATCCACTAACAACAATAATACCAAAGAGCGCTCCTGTACAGTGATTGTGGGTAAAGTGGTAATTTATCAGGACAGAATAACCCAAGGTTGCCATAATAAGACAGCAAATCAAAACAAATATAACAAAATCAAATGTGCATTCACATAAAACACAGGCTCCATTAACTTTGTATGATTGTGAAATTACACATAAGGCATGAATAGTTAAGGTTAATCTGTAAGAAAGTGGAAGAAATTTAGTTTTGAGTCTTGGTATTATAAATAAACTCCTTGCCTAAAACCAAAAACCAGAAGAAATCTTAACAAGCTCTCTGCATATGACAGCCGTTGGCCAGCAGGGTCAGCCGGGCTTAAATTACCTGTATCGCAGAAAAGTGTTTTTGGCCAATAATACTGTCTAGTTGAAATGACATGCTGTGGCCCATAAAAACTAAAATGTTTTCAATTACAACTGTTAGTGTGACAAATAATAAAAGGTGAAAATGAATAGTGCAATTACAGTGACACTGAACACTTAGGAAGCAGTAATTTTAGGGTTTGTGACAAACATCCCATCAGTTTGTGTTCAGTTCAGTCTTATTTTGTTCTAATGGCTCTTTTTAAGACTGTTGGGGATATCTATGCTCTGTGGGTGGTAAGATTAAATCACAGCCACAGTTTCCACCAAATGCCCATTTATTGCACTGGACATGGTATTTAAGGGTCAGTTCAGCCCCTCAAACATATTTTCTCACTTCCCTGTATTGGTTCATAGCTATACAGATAGATTTGGTCCTCTTTGTCGAGGTTTTGAGATTGTAATAAACAGGAATGGGATTTATGAGGGTCAACCAAACACAATATACCTGGATTTACTCACATGGCACCTAATATTATTTTGAAGTAGCTCCTGATGATCCGCTCTATAAACAGCCATTTGTACATGGAAAGCTGGAATTGCAATAAATAAATAGAAGAAAAGCATTTCAGTTATGTGTTTATCAGATAGAAACAGAGATAACACTGTTCAGCTCTGCCTCCAGTGAATGAAAAACGTTGATCCAGCAAACATTTGGACAGTTTTTTTTCTGTGTGGCTGAGCAGGAGACTCTGTCTGTACGTGTGTGTGTACTTGTGTGTTTTTGTGCTAGTGTGTGTGTTTGAAGTTGATCGATGACAGTAATTAGAGGAGTTCACCAGTGGGAAACATTGAAAAGCCAAACAGTATTGTAATGAACAGAGACACAAGCTGCACAACAAGCAGAGCACCAGAGAAGAGAAAGATACAGAAAGTTCACTGCGTGAGAAAAGAAAGTGAGGCAAAGAGAGAGGCCATGAACACAATGACTGCTTCGAGAACACCCACAGAGTTAATGATTTTGGCTATTATCACGGTTTTCAATTTTAACTGCAGAAGCTCTTAGCTGAACGGCCAGCGCTACAATCCCAGGGATGGGTTCTTATGGTGGCAGAACAATTGATGTGTTAATGAAGAGATGACCGCTGTGAGATGAACTACTGCATTATGATAACAGCTCTATGTGTGACTGTGTGTGTGTGTGTATATGAAATGCAGCCGTACTGTAAGCCTATGGCTTCTCCCTTTATCTGATCAGCATGACCAGGGCACTTCGCCCCAGGAGACGATTTCCCCAAAATAAAGAAGGCTACCTACTCACAATTAAATTACCACATTTCATGGTTAACTGTAATCAGTTTGAAGGCTTAACAAGGCTTAAATACTTCACTTAATAGGCTTAACTGCATATGACTAAAAGCTTAACAGAGTCATCAGTTTCCATCAAAGGCAAGATAAATGGGCTCTAAACAGGTGGGCATTTTAAACAAAAGCCAATTATGTTTAAAGCTGCACTAATCAATATTTTTATATTAACAATGAGTCAAATGACTGTGTGTAATGTGAAATGGGTTGCTCATTGAACCCACAAAGAATTGTCACCCAACTCTGC